TTTTGTTCATTGGTTCTTTGTTTTTGTGGGCATTGACTTTGAGTGAAGCACATACATTGGGTTGTTAGGTGTATGCTGTCCAAATTTGGTGTCAATTCGTGCAGTGGTTTTTGAGTTCTGTTAATCCCACAAACAAACATTACATTTTTATTTATATAGACTATATTATATTATATTATAAGCACAGTGCAGGAGATAAGATGGAACTGCCTTCATGGCCCCTCTCTTCACTCTAATCTCAGAGCAGCGGTTGGTGCTGGGGGGGGGGGGCTCCCAACTGATGATACTGGAGGCAAGATGGAACTGCCTTCATGACCCCAGACCAATAGTCAAGGTAAACAGAAAAATCTTTGCTCTCTTAACTTTGCAGAGACAAAACAAAACTGCCAATGCTTGCACATAAAAATCAGCAGTATTTACATATGCATATTTACACATTCTTTGTAATATGCATAAAATAAAGCATCTTCTAAGCTGCAAATGGAAAATCATAACAACCTGAAGTAAATAGGCATTTCACCATCAGCATCTCCTGCTGGTACTCCACACTGGTGAAACAGAACTCCAGCAGCAACCCACCACACTGTATTGAAAAACCTCAAACAGTTATAGCTCCTTGAGGGTGGCACAAGATTGCTGCTAGACCTACTTAGGCAGCTGAACAAGATAATTACAAGCAATAAGGTTTTTCTTCACACATATACTTGTGTACTGCAAGCATTTACCGTAATAAAAGTCAACATCGGCACTGAAATACAACACCGCCTGAACTCTGCGGGTGCAGCATTCTTCCGAATGAAGCAGAGAGTGTTTGAGGACCGGGACATGCGTAGGGAGACCAAGGGGCTTGTTTATAAAGCTATTGTCCTCCCAACTTTGCTATACGCCTGCGAAACGTGGACTGCCTACTGACGTCACATGCAACTCCTGGAACGATTCCATCAAGCATTGCCTCTGAAAAATCCTGCAAATCTCTTGGGAAGACAAGCAGTGCTGGAAGAAGCAAAGACCACCAGGATTGAAGCGATGGTCCTCCACCATCAACTCCGCTGGACCGGCCACGTTGTCCGGATGCCCGACCACCATCTCCCAAAGCAGTTGCTTTACTCCAAATGGAAAATGTAATGTTACTGGGCAGAAAAAGAGATTGAAAGATGGGCTTAAAGCCAGCCTTAAAAACTCTGGCATAGACACTGAGAACTGGGAAGCCCTGGCCTGTGAGCGCTTCAACTGGAGGTCAGCTGTGACCAGCAGTGCTGCAAAATTCCAGGATTAGTGTCCTGGCGGTGGGTCCGTAGGTAAATCTCTTGGGAAGACAAGCGGACAAAGGTCAGCATGCTGGAAGAAGCAAAGACCACCAGCACTGAAGCGATGGTCGCCCGCCATCAACTCCAGGTGCCTGGCCACCGTCTCCCAAAGCAGTTGCTCTACTTCGAACTCAAGAACGGGAAACGGAATGTTGGAGGACAGGAAAAGAGATTGAAAGATGGGCTCAAAGCCAACCTTAAAAACTCTGGCATAGGCACCGAGAACTGGGAAGCCCTGGTCCTTTAGCGCTCTAACTGGAAGTCAGCTGTGACCAGCAGTGCTGCGGAATTCGATGAGGCATGAATGGAGGGTGAGAGAGAGCAATGTGCCAAGAGGAAGAAGGCACATCAAGCCAACCCTGACTGGGACTGCCTTCTATTTAGAAACCGATGCCCTCACTGCGGGAGAAGATGCAGGTCAAGAATAGGGCTCCACAGTCACCTACGGACCAACCGCCAAGACACCACATCTGGAAGACAATCATCCTCAAGCTACGAGGGATCGCCTAAGTAAGTTTTACAATGTCTTTCGCCTCCTGTGCCAAAAGTGCTGGTGCTTCACCAAACTGCAGCTCCCAGGCCTCTCTGTGTTTTTGAACCCATTTTCTTTGGCTCGCCGTGGCTTTAACTGCAAAATATGCTGGAGGATTGAAACTTTGCATTTTGCTCATGTTGCTGTGAATTCCGATGCCTGTTCCCTTGATGTTCACAATCGTCCTTTCTTTTTTTCCGTCCCAGGTGAATGTACGGCATTCAAGGAAAAATTCATGCAGTGTCTCCGGGCGAATCACTTTGAGAACGCTTTGTGCAGAGAGGAATCCAAGGAATACTTAGAATGCAGAATGGAGAGGCGAGTGCGTCCGTTCTTGCAAAACATCACCGCAACGGATGGATGTTTGCTCTCGTTTGTCCCATATTTCGCCAGCTTTCACTGGCCTCTCGGTATCTGTTGTGTCTCTGGGTTTGGTATTATATTTATTTCTGCACCTGTGCTCATTGTTGGAAATGCTTCCTTGCAGAAAACCAGAGCTGACGTTTCTCTAAAAAGAACCCCAAACAGTCACCAGTCCTTTGAGGGTGCATCTACGCTGCAGAATTAATGCAGTTTGACGCTACTTGAACTTCCATGGCTCAATGCTATGGAATCCTGGGAGTTGTAGTTTCACAAGGCCTTCAGATTTTCCTACCAAAGTATTAGGGAAAGGTTTTCCCCAGACATCAAGTCCAGTCGTGTCTGACTTTGGGGTGTGGTGCTCATCTCCATTTTTGGATTCCAAAACACATGGAGGAAAGGCAAAGTTTATTTATTTATTTGCTATACTTGTATACCGCCGTTTCTCAGCCTAGCCGGCGACTCAACGCGGTTTACAACAACTTATAACAAACAACAGTATACAGTTTAAAAACATAAAAACACAATCCACAATACATATATCAATAAACAATCCAATTCATCTCTTGACTAAAATCGCGATCCAGTTTCGTCGTCCAAATTGCCAGTCCTTCAATCATTACACTTATTGCACTGAGTTAACCGAACGCCTGCTCGAACATCCAGGTTTTTAGTCTTTTCCGGAATACCATCAATGAGGGGGCTGATCTTACCTACATGGGAAGGGCGTTCCAAAGCCGCAGGGCCACCACAGAAAAGGCCCTGTCTCTCGTCCCCGCCAGCCGCACCTGTGAAGCAGGCGGGATAGAGAGCAGGGCCCCCCAGAAGATCTTAGGGTCCTGGTGGGCTGATAGGCCGAGATACGTTCGGATAGGTAAATTGGGCCAGAACCGTTTAGGGCTTTAAAGGCCAACGCCAGCACTTTGAATTGAGCCCGGTAGCAGATCGGCAGCCAGTGGAGCTGGTGCAGCAGAGGAGTTGTATGCTCCCTGTGCTCCGCTCCTGTTAGTATCATGGCCGCCAAACGTTGGACTAATTGGAGCTTCCGGGCCGTCTTCAAAGGCAACCCCACGTAGAGAGCGTTGCAGTAGTCTAAACGGGATGTAACCAGAGCGTGGACTACCGTGGCCAAGTCAGACTTCCCAAGGTACGGGCGCAGTTGGCGCACGAGTTTTAACTGTGCGAATGCTCCCCTGGTCACCGCCGAAACCTGGGGTTCCAGGCTCAGCGATGAGTCCAGGGTCACACCCAAGCTGCGAACCTGTGTCTTCAAGGGGAGTGCGACCCCATCCAACACAGGCTGTAACCCTATACCCTGTTCGGCCTTGCGACTGACCAGGAGTACCTCTGTCTTGTCTGGATTCAATTTCAATTTGTTCGCCCCCATCCAGACCGTCACAGCGGCCAAGCACCGGTTCAGGACCTCGACAGCCTCCTTAGTTGGCCCGTTACCTGAGACAACCCATTTAGAGTTGACATTGTTAAGCAACATAACAAACAGTGATACTTTCTCATATCTATATTTTCCCTTTTCATTCCCACAGGCAACTTATGGCCAGAGAGCCGCTGGAAAAACTGGGCTTCAAAGACCAAACAGAAGAGAAACCAGCAAGCCAGCCTCAGGCGCTGTGAAGCTTTCCCGTCTTTTGGAGGAGTGTCACGTCTACAGTAGTACATATTGTACATTGCAGTATTTTATTCTGACGTGAAGTGGTTCTTGGAAGATAGTTTTACGCCAGGGAGTGGGACTGTATTCCCAAGGAGAGGAGAACTTAATGCCCTTGCAAGGTCTTGTTCCCCTTTGGCTGGCTGAACCAGCAACCAGGGCTGGATATTTATTTCAGGCAGGAAGCTGGAATGATAAAGTGTCTTTGCATACTGGATTTTGGAAGTGCATTTCTTACTTCTGCACCCTGTTCTCATGTTGATTTATTGACCTCTGAGCATCTGCTCTACGTGCTCTTACTGCCTATTCCAGGGAAAACCAGCTGATCCCTAATCCATCTAAAACACAGATATGTGCCTTTCATCTCAAGAACAGAGAAGCATCCCGAGCTCTGAAGATCACCTGGGAAGGAATCCCACTGGAGCATTGCAGCGCACCCAAATACCTGGGAGTCACTCTGGACCGTGCTCTTACCTACAAGAAGCACTGCATGAACATCAAGGAAAAACTGGGCGCTAGAAACAATACCATACGAAAGCTGACTGGCACAACCTGGGGATCACAACCAGACACAGTGAAGACATCTGCCCTTGCGCTGTGCTGCTCCGCTGCTGAGTATGCATGCCCAGTGTGGAACACATCTCACCACACTAAAACAGTGGATGTGGCTCTTAATGAGACATGCCGCATTATCACAGGGTGTCTGCGCCCTACACCACTGGAGAAATTACACAGCTTAGCCAGTATTGCACCACCTGACATCCACCGGGAAAGGGCAGCCAATAGTGAAAGGACCAAGGCAGAGACATCTCCAGCTCATCCCCTGTTTGGGTATCAGCCAGCGCATCAACGACTTAAATCTAGAAATAGTTTTCTAAGATCTACAGAGACACTCGCTGGAACACCTCAGCAAGCGAGAGTCCAAAAGTGGCAGGCTCAAACCCAGAATCCCAACCAATGGCTGATACCAAACGGGAGACTCCTCCCCTGGGCACTCAGAGACTGGGCGACTTGGAAGGCGCTGAACAGACTGCGCTCTGGCACCACGAGATGCAGAGCCAACCTCAAGAAATGGGGCTACAAAGTAGAATCCTCGACATGCGAGTGTGGAGAAGAGCAAACCACTGACCACCTGCTGCAATGCAACCTGAGCCCTGCCACGTGCACATGGAGGACCTTTTTGCAGCAACACCAGAGGCACTCCAAGGGGCCAGAGACTGGTCAAAGGACATTTCATCAACTACCAAACTCACACATTTTGTATTTTCTCTGTTTGTTTGCTTTGTTCTGTTAGAAATGTAATATAATTGACTGGCTGCCCTGACACGAGAAATAAATAAAAATCTGCTCAAAGGCACAAAAGCAAATAACGAAGCAGCGTACTACCTCAGTCAGCTCCAAAGCCCGAAGCAGCTCTTATCTTTTATTGCCATTTACACTATTTACAGGAGCAGAATAAAATACGTCCGTTCACTAGCTTCACATCGCTGGAAGCTGAAACCACATGGCTATCTGATTTTTGTGGAATGTAAACATATAGAATCATAAGAGTTGGAAGAGACCTCCTGGGCCATCCAGTCCAACCCCATTCTGCCAAGAAGCAGGAAAATTGCATTCAAATCACCCCTGACAGATGGCCATCCAGCCTCTGTTTACAGGCTTCCAAAGAAGGAGCCTCCACCACACTCTGGGGCAGAGAGTTCCACTGCTGAACAGCTCTCACAGTCAGGAAGTTCTTCCTCATGTTCAGGTGGAATCTCCTTTCCTGGAGTTTGAAGCCATTGTTCCACATCCTAGTCTCCAGGGCAGCAGAAAACAAGCTTGCTCCCTCCTCCCTATGACTTCCTCTCACATATTTTATTTATTTATTATTCACTATATTTGTATACCGCCCTTCTCAGCCCGTAGGTGACTCATGGCGGTTTACAATGGCAACGATTCAATACCCAAAAACACCATGAAACATTTAAAAACATCAACACATAATATAAAACCATAGCAAGAATACTAAAAGCATACATCATTTGCATCTCCTAATAAGAACATGGTCCCATATCGTCATCCATCGTTCCAATTCCTATGTCTTTTACCTAGCATTTTCAAACGCTAGCTCAAACAATTAAGTCTTGATTCTCTTCCGAAATGTTAAGAGGGAGGAGGCTGATCTGATGTCCCCAGAAAGGGCGTTTCACACCTGAGGGGCCACCACTGAGAAGGTCCTGTCTCTCGTCCCCACCAAGCGTGTTTGTGACACAGGCGGGATTGAGAGCAGGGCCTCCCCTGTATACATGGCTATCATGTCTACTCTCAGCTTTCTCTTCTTCAAGCTAAACATGCCCAGGTGTTTAAGCTGCTGCTCATAGGGTTTGTTTTCCAGACTCTGGAGAACAATATCTCCAATTGCGTTGCCCAGAATTGGACACAATATTCCAGATGTGGTCTAACCAAGGCAGAATAGAGCATGGGGAGCATGGCTTCCCTGGATCTAGGCACTAGACTCCTATTGATGCAGGCCAAAATCTCATTGGCTTTTTTTGCCACTGCATCACATTGTTGGCTCGTGTTTAACTTGTCCATGTGTAAATGTTGAACATTGATGGAACAAGCACACTCCCATGAGTCTCTATGATGAGATATTCATTGAAAACCTAGAGCAAAACGTGCTGCAAGATGTCTTACAATCATTTCAAAGCTCCCTGCTTTGAGCAGTGATGGCATGATCGTCAGCATAGATGAAACTCTCCATCCCTTCTGGCAGTAGCTAATCATTTGAGGAAATGTTAAACACGGATAGAGCAAGCACACTCCCCTGAGACTCTATGATGAGATATAAATTGAAAAACAAGAGCAAAACATGCTGCAAGGTGTCCTACAACAATTTCAAAGCTGCCTGCTTGGGCGGTGATGGCACGATCATCAGCATAGATGAAACTCTGTCCCTTCTGGCAGTGGCTGGTCATGGATGGAGCAAGCACGCTTCCCTGAGACTCTATGATGAGATATTAATTGAAAAACAAGAGCAAAACATGCTGCAAGATGTCCTACAACCATTTCAAAGCTCCCTGCTTGAGCGGTGATGGCATGATCGTCAGCATAGATGAAACTCTGTCCCTTCTGGCAATGGCTGGTCATGGATGGAGCTTCCCTGAGACTCTATGATGAGATATTAATTGAAAAACAAGAGCAAAACATGCTGCAAGATGTCCTACATCCATTTCAAAGCTCCCTGCTTGAGCGGTGATGGCATGATCGTCAGCATAGATAAAACTCTCTGTCCCTTCTGGCAGTGGCTGGTCATTTGTGTGAATGTTGAACATGGATGGAGCAAGCACGCTCCCCTGAGGCAGGCCGTTCTTCTGTTTCCGCCATCTGCTTCTCTGGCCCTGAACTCAACAAAAAAGCTCCTGTTTTGTAGCAGGTTTCTTATGAGGCGGGTGAGGTGGTCGTCCTTTGTGATACTATACATTTTTCTCAGGAGGAGACCGAGGTTCACAGTATAGTAAGCTGCTGACAGGTCTATGAAGACAGCTCCTGACCCTGGAACTCAACAAAAATGCTCCTGTTATGCAATGAAATATGGTATTTGTTTAAAAAAATTGCCAGTTGCTTGAGAGTTCTAGTTGTTTTGAGTTCTGATTAACCGAGATCCTACTATAGTAGTTGGGGTTCTCCTCTCACAACAACTGTGCAGAGTAGGTTGAGCTGAATGCAAAACGACCCAATGAGGTCTCCCACATCCCAGTCCTGCACATTAACCAGTGGTCCTGTTCAACATCTTGATTCATGACTTAGATGAAGGGCGAGAAGGCAGGATCATCAAGTTTGCAGACGACACCTCTCTTTGTCCTGGGCCCTTCCTGTTCAACATCTTTATTAATGACTTAGATGAAGGGGAGAAGGCAGGATCATCAAGTTTGCAGACAACACCAAATTGGGAGGGAGAGCCAATACTCCAGAGGACAGGAGCAGGATTCAAAATCTTGACAGATTAGAGAGATGAATGGCCAAAACTAACAAAATGAAGTTCAACAGGGACAAATGCAAGATACTCCACTTTGGCAGGAAAAACGAAATGCAAAGATACAGAATGGGGGACGATGAGGCCTGGCTCGAGAGCAGGACGTGTGGAAAAGATCTTGGAGTCCTCGTGGGGAGGAAGTTAAACATGAGCCAGGAATGTGATGTGGCGGCAAAAAAGCCAATGGGATTTTGGCCTGCATCAATAGGAGCCTAGTGTCTAGATCCAGGGAAGTCCTGCTCCCCATGCTCTATTCTGCCTTGGTTAGACCACACCTGGAATATTGTGTCCAATTCTTGGCACTACAGTTCAAGCTGGAATGTGTCCAGAGGAGGGCGACTAAAATGATCAAGGGTCTGGAGAACAAGCCCTATGAGGAGCGGCTTAAGGAGCTGGGCATGTTTAGCCTGAAGAAGAGAAGGATGAGAGGGGATATGATAGCTATGCATAAATATGTGAGAGGAAGCCACAGGGAGGAGGAGGGAGCAAGCTTGTTTTCTGCTTCCCTGGAGACTAGGCGCGGAACAATGGCTTCAAACTACAAGAGAGGAGATTCCACCTGAACATGAGGAAGAACTGACTGTGAGAGCCGTTCAGCAGTGGAACTCTCTGCCCGGAGTGTGGTGGAGGCTCCTTCTTTGGAAGCTTTTAAACAGGGGCTGGATGGCCATCTGTCAGGGGTGATTTGAATGCAATATTCCTGCTTCTTGGCAGAATGGGGTTGGACTGGATGGCCCAGGAGGTCTCTTCCAACTCTTTGATTCTATGATTCTATGACATGCTCACTTTTGGGATTGACTCTTGTTTTCAACCAGATTCCCGCACTGTGCTGAATCTGGATGCATTACTATATAATAGCCCTTAATAATCAATGGCCAAAATTATAGGGTTGAATTTAGGACAGTTTCATGGTAATGGGTGAGACTCTTGTCTCTGACCTCTTGCAGAAAGATAACACCTTATCTGCAACGCCTGCCGAGAAGATAAATAATGGCATTTCTTGGGCTCTGGATATAACGAAGGGAATTTAGCTCAAGGCGATCGTGGGAATCTGTGGCAGAAGTTTTGTCACAATGGTGGCCTCTCTCTCTGGTTCTCAAGCGGGCGCCTGGGAGATCTTATCCCATATAATAAATGGGGGGAAATGGCTAAGCTGCCGTCCCAGGGGCAAGTGGGGAGAAAGCGATTCATCAGGTGCA